ATTCAAATTTTTAATATTATAATATAATTAAATATTTAAATGTTACCATTTATACAATTTCCTTTATTACGTTTCCTTAATTAAGATTTATTAATAACTTCCATATTTAATAGAAAATATTGTAAATGACTGAAATACCCTTATTGATTAATTTTAATTACAAAAAAATGAAATTTTCCTATTGGTCGAAATTGGTTTACACTGTTTCTTAGAAATGCACGGTTTTCATTTGAACTTGCCCCTCTATATATATAGGGTATATTTCAAATACAACCCACCCTATTCTTGCAACCAATACAACCCTTTTCCAACCAATCAATGATTTTTTTTTTTTTTTAATTATTATTTAATTGAAAAGGTTAAATATGTCATTTACTAAATCTAGATTATTATAAGTATTTTTAATTAAGAATAAATGATATTCTATTATGGTGATTGATTCATCAATTATGGAAATTGAATAATTAATTAAACAAAATGATATTTGCACCTATTCGTTGATTAAGGCATTAAAGTTTCATAACTTAAATTTTAAGATTGGAATTGAATAGTTTTATAGTTTCTTCGGTAGCTTTATAGAACCCAGTATTAATGTTATGGATTATATGTCATTCAACGAGACTTTCAGTAAGGATATCGTCGAAGAAAGCAGTGTTTTTGATTCCATGAACGACTGTCAAGGTTTTGATTATGGTGGTGAAAATGCAACCGCAGTTAATAATGAAACAATAGAAGATCAATGCAATTATTCAATGAGGAATGAAGATGGTTGTAACGATCGTAACGAAACATTAAGTGAGCACAACGACGGAGGAGTTGTAGATTTTGTCGATATTGGCGTTGCATCGTTGAGCAATGAAGCTGAAGGTATTGATTTGCTTTCATTGTTGTAGAATGACTTTGAGAATACACAATAGTCGATGATGACGTTATTGATGCACACCTCTCGTCTTTGTTATTGTTGTTGTTGGTTACAAGAATGCAAAGAATTAATTTTGCTATCTAATGAAAATTGTTTCAGAAGTTTTATAAGTTGATGAAGCAGTGATTATCGCATTTTAAGTTATATAAACATTTATGAATCCTGTTTCATATGCTTATGTCTTATGCACTTTAACAACATGTTAATGAACCTAAAAATTATTTACATGATGCTGTTAATGAACCCAAATGCAATGTAGCATGCTGTTAATGAAGCTCTATGTTAATGCACTATAACAGCATGTTTTATATTGTGATACAGGTTTCATAACTGATTTGATTGCACGGTAACATATAGACTTATTTGGTGAATCAGGTTTCATTAGCTAATGAACCTAATACATACGTTTGTGATTTGAAGCAGTGATTATCGCATTTTAAGTTATATATATGTTTATGAATCCTAAAAATTGTTTTCATGATGGTGTCAATGAAACTAAAATGAAATGTAACATGCTGTTAATGAACCTATATGTTTCATTAGTTGGAAAGATGGAACAAAGACAAATTCTTTACTGTTATTGACCAACTGTAAGTTAGTAAATGAAAAAGTTTTGATTTGTTTGATTTTGTAGATTATCGATCTGATGGCATGGGGGAAACGAACGATGGGTCGAAATGTTGGTTTCCCAATGTAAACGCAGAATATAAGCCGAAGGTGGGTGATGGATTTGAGACCGTAGAATCGGCTGAGAAAATGTACCGAAAGTATGCTAATGAAGCTGGGTTTGATGTACGTTTATCCAACAAGAAGATAAATAATAAGGGTCGTATCACGTCTCGATTTTATGTGTGTAGTAAAGAAGGAAGGCCACCAAGTAAGTATTTTGATTCCTTAGATGTTCTTCTAGGTGATCATAGGATCCATAATTCAAATGTAAAGCATTCCGATTGTGAAGCATGTTTCAAGATTCATTTTGTAAAAGAACAGAGACAGTATGAAGTTTACAAATTTATTGAGCAACACAATCACATGCTTTTTAATAAGGAGGAGATGAGGTTTTCACGTTCTAAAAGGCAACTACACTACGCTTATCACAAAAATGTATTTCATGGTTCTAGTTCGAAGGTTGGTGTCACCAAATTTCATAGATTTAGGAAAGCAATTACAGGTGGTGTATATTGCTCGGGTGGCACTGTAAGAGATCATGAAAACTTCAAACGCGATGTGGCTTATTTTGTTGACAATAAAGACGCGCAAATGTTGTTAAATATGATGTCTAATAGGAGGAAGGTGTGTCCCGAGTTTTTTTTCGAGTACAAGTGTGATGATAAGGAGTTGTTAGCGATTTTCTGGGCTGATGAAACTGCACGATCGAATTATAGGGAATTTGGTGATGCAATATCATTTGATGCAACGTTTCGGACGAATAAGTAAGTTACAATTGATATGAATCTATTTGGTTTGTGTTATCTATATTACATGTTATAGCTTGTATTAATTTATAATGTTTAATTTTAATAGGCATGCCATGATATTTGTTTCGTTTGTTGCAATTGATAATCATAAGAAATCTGTCATTGTAGGAGCTGCTTTGATTCACAATGAATCTGTGGTTGATTACACTTGGGTATTGAAAGCTTTTGTAAAAGCTCATGGACGTCAACCACGTTTTGTAATCACTGACTAATGTGCGTCGATGAAACAAGCAATTCTCATTGCAATTCCTGAATCCAAGCATCGATTGTGTATGTGGCATATCACTAAAAAGCTCAAATCTAAGGTAATTACGATGAAACTTTTTTGTTTTCGTTTTTTTTTTTCATTTTTTAAGTTTTCCTTCTAATTCTGTATGTGGCAGATCAGTAATAACCTCCAACATCGTACGCCGTTTGTTAGTGAATTTAATAAGTTAGTGTGGAATGTTCACCTTGGCCCTGATGAATTTGAGATGAAATGGCTCAACATGATGGATTTGTATGGATTACGTGGAGACTCATGGTTTGATGAACTGTATGAGATTAGGGAGTCATGGATTCCGGCTTATTATAATGATTATCATATGTCCGGTCTAATGAAAACAACATCCAGGTCGGAGAGTGTGAATGCTTTTTTTAATGTTTATGCATATTTTTGGCACGATCTTGTCATTTTTCTTCGTTCTTTTGATAATGCAATTGAAAGCCAACGGACGACACATGGGTCGCTAGAGGTGACAACGAAGAGCACGGTTCCTCGATTGGTGTCTCCTTGCAAATTAGAAGCTCATGCAGCAGAAATATATACACAGACGATATTTTTTGAAGTTCAGAAAGAGTTAAGAAAGGCTGTCTGGCTTTGTGGATGGGATGGATTCACTGACATTGGTGAAACCCGAGTGTACACCATAACACACAAGAACAAAGCTTCAAAGATCACCACAAAGTACACGGTAGTTATTTCTTAATTATCCAATTTTGCCAAACATTTCAAATAGTAGAATCCTTAATGCAAGTTCCTAATATGATCTGGTTTCTCATTTGATAGGTTGTCAAGAACAAGATTGAAAACTCTTATGATTGCTCATGTAATTGTTTTGTTCGTAACGGGATTTTATGTCGTCACGCTCTTAAGGTAATGTTAAATGACGAGGTTGATAGAATTCCAGATAAGTATATACTTCATTGTTGGAAACGTGATCTAGTCCCGGTGGAGTGGTTACCAGCACGTTTCAGATATGGGGAAGTTGACACTGATAAGGAGAGGTTGATGAGTGTTGCTTATTCGTATTTTGAACGTATTCTAGGTCGAGTGCGAAATGAGAAACATATTTTGTCAAAATTTGTTGACCAACTTCAAGAATGGGATACAAAGATTGATAGTGAACTTCCTATACAGTCACACGCTCAAGAGACAACAACATCTATTAAAGAGTTTCTTGGAGTATCTCAACCCGAAAATATTGATGTTCTACCTCCAACCGGCATACGAAAGCAATTACGTCTTCAAATGGCAAAAAGAAGAAGAGAAAGTGTCGGTTATGTCTTCAAATGGCTACACATGATTCGAGAAATTGTCCAAAACGTGATTCCACTTAAATTATGCCTTTTAATTTTTGGTCACATTTCATTTCAACACGTTATAGGATTAGATTATTGTGTTTTAGTTAAATATACTACATTGTTTAAACTAGTTTCATCAAATTATTAGTGAATCTCTAATTTTCTAATAAAGTTGAATATGCTTTCATTTTACTGGTTGAAGTAGGTGTAAAAAGCTAAGTTGGTACATATGATTCTGATGAAAATAGGTACGTATTATTCTTATTGTCAATATGGAATCACCACATGTTATAATCACCAAATATTGATCATTATGTTTTGCATTATTTCTACATGCATCAAGAAACTTTTGATCTAGTTAGGTATGATTTCATTTTACCCTTTTGTGTAGTTGGAAAAAGTTATGTGATTACATAAGGTTCTGATGAATATGGGTTCATCAGAATGTGTTAGTCATGCTTCAATAACAGATTGTGAATATGTAATAATCATGTATTTTTGGATGGATATGGTTTGCATTATATATTCAGTATGAATCAAGTTTCATATACCATTTTTACCTTTTTGTGTAGTTGAACAAAGTGCTTATTTGAATATGTTATTCAAGATTCTGAATCTATATGGTTAGCATTATTACTAAATAAACAAGTTTAATTAACAGGTGTGTTAATCTGGGTTCACCATTCATATGACAATGTGTTGGCAAAATATTTTCATCAAATGCATACACATTTCATAACGTCGAACATTCCAATAGCATAATGTTTAAACAAACTAGAAAATTCAATACCAAAAGCAAGTCATTAAAACCGTCTACATGAGAAAAATATAAAAGAACATCAATCAATCAGATTCGAAGTCTCTCAGTCTTTGTATYGTCAGCATGTTTTMTTAACTTTTTTCGKATGGCTTCATCCATTGATTGAAACTTCTCAACTTCCTTAACGACATATTCCTTCTTCTTGTTGTAGTTGCTCACCAATAATWTTGCTACATATTTCATTCTGAGGGAGGCTATTTGGATCTCTTGTGTTTTTCCTTCTTGTGCCAGGCCAGTTTTCCATGTTCGCACATCTCCCATGTACGTCTCCATGTGTCTCATTGCAAACACGCCACAATCATCGAAGTTGTTTTGTGTCTGCCAATCCATCCTCAACTTTTCTTGGCCGATTTCATCTAGTTCTCTCCCCGCTGGATGTCCAACCGCATTCAAATGCCTGATCATCAATCTTTGCTGGACAAACGGAATGAAATGATTAACACATCGTATATCATATTAATAAAGAATACAATTATACATCAATATTTTATTCATACCAGAATGTCTGTAATAAAGTCATACATCTGTAGAAGTTGATCATCACCGGACACCTCTTGATATCTATTGTCTATGACAATAACTGATGGGTTCTTCAGATTGAACGCCACAAGATAATAGTGTCCCTTATCCAGTAATGGGAAGAATACCTATCATTTCATCAAGTTTTTAGGTTCATTAACAGAATGTTACATTGCATAAAAATCAGCATGTTATAGTGCATTAACATAGAGTTTCATTAACAGCATGTTACAGTGATATGAGGTTCATTATATGTTCATTAACATCATCTCACACAAAAAGTAACAGTGTATTTAGGTTCATTTAGAGCATGTTACTGTGCATATAAAACTTGATGTAACATTATGTTAATGAAACCTGTTTACTAAATGTATCCCCTGTTTCACCAAGTTACAATGTTGTTAATGTTACATTGTTGTTATTGTGCTATTAAATGTTACATTGTTGTTACTGTTACATTGCTGTTAATGTGTTGTTACAAGCATTTAGGTTCATTAACAGCATGTTACATTGCTGTTACTATGCATATAAAACAACATGTAACATGCTGTGCATTTAGGTTCATTAAAAGTATGTTATTGTGCATATAAAACACCTGTTTCACCAAGTAATAGCTATGTATAACCCTTATGTAGTGTACTGATGAAACCAAATTCATCAGCTTATATATTGTTGACGTATCACTACATTTCATTCACATATGTGTGTCTAGATTCATGATAAACTAATGGCTATGTATAACCCTTATGTAGTGTAATGATGAAACCAAATTCATCAGCTTATATATGAATCTAATTTCATTGGTAAACTTTGTGTCATCATGTAAAGGCTTGTAAAATGTAATGATGAAACCATTTGCATCAATGTATAAGTACATGCGAATTAGCTAATGATGTTTGCAATAGTGTATCAGATTCATTGACATAGGTGACTAAGTGCATATTGAATATGGTAGCAAAATACAGCGAAAACAATCTGAAATTGAAAAACATACCAGGTCTAAGTTACGCATTTGTACTACTTCCCAGTTGTTTTTCGCACAAGATAACAAACCCTTTTTGAAAAGTGCGTATTGGGTATTATGATTGACGCTCTTAGATCTTAGCTTAGAGTCTCCCTGTCATAAGCAACGATGTATTTATGGTTTATTAAGCCGTTAGACAAGGAAATAAATGATATTTTAAATATTTTCCTTCTCACGTACCATAACTTTCGTGTTAAAAAAATAACGACGCAAGGAATCCCTGTTCCGATACCGTTCCTTGTAGTTAAGCAATGTAGCCCATGCGTCTATCACACTAACTTAAATTGTAGTTGTACGCCCCAAGCTTTCAATTGCCTGACGATGTAGCGTCGTATCGTTTGCTGTTGAAAACAACAACTCGCTGCATTTAAAACCGTCAAAAATGATAAATAAAATATGAAGACGGATGCCATGGTGGTAATAATTCAACAAAGAAATTTTCATATAATTATAAACTTACTACTTTCCTCCAAGCCCAGCCACTGCCCATTCATGGATTTTTCTTTCTTCTGGTGTCACGTTCAGGTCAACTGCTCTGATAACAAAAGGGGACCTGAGATGGTCACCCAACTTTAGTTCACGTCTTGTCGCTCGCTCCACTTGATATTTCTTTGCATCTTCGGATACATTACATCTTTCCACCGAAGGACATCTTTCTATACATCCAGCCTCTTCATGCAATACCATTGACAAAGGTTCCGATTGCTTGATTAGACTAATACCCAAATCAAACTTTGGAAGAGTAATGGCTGCATATGGTCTTTTCGTCTTTGACGTTGATATAGTATTTTCAACTACTTTATCAACTGCTTCAATGAAACCAGGGCTTAACCAAATCTTGGGCAGTGGTTTTTCATTGAACCCACTTGGCTGACTTACAACAATATCCATTGAAGGTTGTCCATCATTTTTTGCAGTTGAATGATCCTTTAATCCACTAGACTGGGTGTCATGTGTCGTGTTACATGCTCCTTCCTTGAACATGTCATCCAACTGTTTCTTGTATTGCTTGAATTCTTCATCACCTGGAAACTTGGACATCGCTTCTTTAATCTCCATCTTAGCCTCCACTCTTGCACTTAAAACAACAGCGATCTTAATAAGTATCCGATGAACATGATCCTGCATTTGTTGACACTTAAATGTATTAGAAATTGCATAACTTAAAGTAATAAAATGAAACACAATTCACTGCTATGCTGATGTCAAACATGTGTGCCTGTGTTAATATATGCACCTGTGTTAACATGTTTCATTAACATATAAACAGCATGTTACTTTTTAGGTAATGTTACTTCATTTGTCTTATACGAATTGAATAAAACATTTAGTAAACATACAACATGTAGCACAGATTCACACATTAAAGATATTAATGCAACAGGTAGCACATGTAGCATGATTCAGTAAATCAAACCCTTTATAAGTTGTGTGCCTATGTTAAACATGTGTGCCTATGCTAATATGTGAACTAGATAATGCATCTAGTTTCATTGATAGAGCCCATAAACAGTTTAATAATAATCCACCTGTTTATGGAACAGTTTAACAAACCATAAACCTGTTTACAAAGGCTGTTTCATTAACATATAAACAGCATGTTACTTTTTAGTTAATGTTACTTCATATGTATTATACGAATTGGATGAAACAGTTAGTAAACATCATGAAACATATCGACTGTCTGACACACAGTTACCAATTAGTACAGTTATGCAGATTCATTTGAAAATTCTACTATTGAACATAAACAATTATTGTAGCTTTGTGAGAGTGARTACAAAAACATAAATCTAACCTCTTTATTYGGATGGGTCGGTGTTSACGTTTCACCGATATTCTTGTGGTTTATATCTTCACTTGATTCAGAAGTAGAACATATTGGTAATAGAMCAAAACCTCCATCTTTTATCTCTGATGACTGTCTCTTCTTTAACAACTCAATGTTCCACCCCGAGAGTGCATGTGCCTTGTGTTCTACCACAACTGTGGGACTTATCGTAGATTCAACATATAACAACTGCCAAATGAAATTGTTGGTTGGTTATGTAAAGAGTTTTTACAATATCATATATAAAGGAAACTTACGGTGAGGTATGTCAAAGGTCCARCATAGAAGCASATGGTACTCTCCCTYTTCCATCTTGAYTTGCTTGTTTTTATTTTGGCGTAKATGTACTTACACCAATCTATTTGTGGAATCACRTCTTCACTTTCTATTCRGTTAAGGAAAYYGAAATTGCAGCACCCCATCCTGTTGYATTCGACCATTAGATTCACAAATAGTACAAGAAAATTGARCTTGRATTCGAACCYTGAATCGCCTGAACTCTGTATCAGTTTCRTAATGTYCTTTGGCCGCATCTTTTTCTTCTCAAATTGTTTACTCCATGTAGTTGCCATGTTCTTTGAAGCATCCACTTCATCCATCTCAAGTAAATCAATCCCTCTCATCTGCAAACCCAACAATTTATGGATTGATTCAACAGTGATTGGTATTACACCATTCGTAACCTTCAATTCCATCTTCTTAACATCCAGAATGTCTACAACATAGAAGCCGAGCTTTGATGGCACTCCGTTAATGGTCATTTCTATTAAAGATCCTAACCCCATTTCTCTCACCACCTTTTTCTGGTCGTCGTTCAATCCAACAATTGTTTGATACAGTGTTCTTGGCGATGTTCTTGTTCTCAAGTTTTCCAACCCGCATTTACTCCCATCACTTGAACCTGATTCATGCACCCTTTCCTTATTTTTTTTTGAGTTCATCTTTCTTCCCAACTTTTGTTTCATCTGACAATAACAATGTTAGTGTTGTAATGCATATTTTAGGCATAGTTGTATTTTCTAATAATGAAAGATATCTCACCTCGTTTAGATAATGCATTTTCATCTAGACTTTCGGTTTCTTTACCCTTATTGCAAACGGGATGTCCTGTCTCAGGTTGCCGTTGTTTGCTTCTTGTACACATCGAAGGACTTTTTTTCATGGTCAATCTCTACTGCATTGCAGTCATAATAACTTAGATCAATATAACATGCATATCGTAAATTAGAATTAAGCTAAAAGATTACAATGAAAGTTACCTTCATTGTTGTTTTTTGAACGTTGTCTTTTTTGTTTTCTCATTGTATGCTTTGAATCTCTTGAATCTACAAGTACAAACAAAGGAAGGTCGGTTTACGTCTATTCATATACACCGATTTGTAAATATTAATTGACATGT